AACACCTCAATAATGTGCAACGTGATAGGGAGTCATACAAGTATACATGTACTTACCTGAAGATAGGACATTTTGGTGTGGAATCCTTCCCCCACAAAAGGACTGCAATGATCAAAACGATCCTTGGCTGTGTGACATCCAGCACGGAGGTCTTTTGCACCAGCAAACCTGACTCGGGTCAGTTGATCACCACCAAATGGAACTGAAACTTTGCTCATGTGATCAGTAGGGTCATTAATGATCACATGAGCATCCGGTTGGTCTGGACTTGAGTGGTCGCCTTGAAATGACTGATGCCTTTCTGCAGGTCTTTGAAGGAGAGGTGCCTGGATAACTCCTGCCTTTGTATAGATTTCATCAAGTGTGTTCTCATAGAAACACAAGATATCCACAACATCGTCATACTTTTTTTCATCCTTGAGTTGGATTGGGAGAGGAATGATGGTAGACCTCTCTCCCATTTCTTTTTGATACCTGTGAGCGATGTGTTCAGGAATCACAGATCTAAGAAATCCCAGTGCCTTCACAAAAGTAACTAGAATTCTTCCTACTAAGACCTTGAAGTCTTCACGTAGCTTTGCCTTCTCATTTGGAGTTAAAAGATATTCATCTGCTGGGAGTTTTGCTATATCCCTTTGAGGGGTAACAGAACTCAAATGATCGCTGGTCACTCTTTCAACAATCAAATGTGAAGCAAAGTAGTGGATGTCTTTGTTCTGGTGGTCGGATCTCATTTTATGAGCATGGATTGTGATGTCCCAGTTGTCACCTGTACCTTGAAGTTTCTTTCCTGCCTGATTTGATTGAAACATTTGTTCACATATTAGTAACATGTAGCCATTATATTAGAGTTTGACAAGCGTACACAGTTCATTATCAATAACAGTAATGAAGGAATAATCAGGCACAGACATAATTGAACTACATGGAAGATGAAACGTTTGTAAGAAACTTATAATTTTATCTTAGAGTTTACCTTGAATGCATCTATAACTTCATCTGCAAAATGACCACCTATAGCGTCCATCAAGTTAAACTTGCTTTGGTGGGATAAAGAGAACCCCATTTTTTGGCATCTTGTATAAAGCTGAAAATTAAATAATAACCACCTCAGACTTTTGAATATGTTAATTAGCATCGTCTGTCTTGTTATAGATAATGACATTATAGTGAAAGTAATAACTGTGAAAAATCTGATTCAATGGTCCAATCAACACAACCTTACAATCAATTGAGTCATAGGTTTATAGCCACTTTAAATCTATGACAATATGTCATGAGCAGAACACCATATATAACATCAGTGTTTCTAATTTTGTGTTTATTCCACTATTACACATGGACTTTMACTGACTTGGTTTAATTGATTTGCTGCGTCTAAATTTAACAGAAAACAAATCATCATAATTAATGCACTTGTTTGCTTTCCAGAATTTGTATTTACCTTTTTCTTTGCATTTCCGTCAATGAATAACACAGTGTTCATCCTTTGGACAAGACTAAGCTCATGGTTGCGTTTGTAGAGAAGTATGGAGTAGCATAGCCCAATAGCAGGGATGATGTCATTCAGATTTTTCTTATTGTGCTGAACCACTGTAACAAATACGTCTAGCAGAAATTTGCACCTATTGGTCACATATTAAAATAATGTCACAACTACTAGTTTTGGACTTAAAATCATTTTAAAATAAAGATGTTATAATATGGACGCTTTGATTGAAGTGTGATTTTTTTGCAAATAATTGAACTCTCGCGAGAATCAGATGTATTTTATTCATCAATATCATATAATGTTCCCTAAATAGGGGGAGGGGTGGCTAGTCACCTTAGGCATGCGCGAGTGATTTTGGTCAAAATATTAACAAATTCATAAAAATGATAAAAAGACATTTGATTTTAGGTCAAATCTGATCAAATTCACTACCTAATAATGGGATAGTTAAGACACTGTCTCACCTCTAAGTCATTTCATTTATTAACTTTATCCAGTCAAATACTTTCATGTCATTGAATTTATTCTGTCTGAGCACAGAAGGCTTTCTTTTTTTGCAGAGGTTGGTTARGCAATCATTCAATTCCTTCAAGATTTCAGCTTTGCACTGGAGATTGATATCTTGATTTCTGAGGACTGACGACGCGATTACAGAAGGCACTCCAGTCTTAACAGCTTCAATTATTCTGGATTTCTCTCCTTTCGTCAACATATTTACAGATGAATCTAAAATCTGAATACAAACCATAAAGAGGTATTTAAACAACGATGCTTTAGAGCCCTACTACACATAGTGTCCACAGATGCTGTACATTCTCGAAAACGTTCTCTATGAATATATTAATGAAATCCGAATAATCATAAAAAATAATTTACTCCAGATTTATAGTAATGATTGTATTGTATTGAATTGAACGAGTAGGGTGTGTCCCGCGTACCGCCCGGCGTACCGCGCTCACACTAACTGATTACCCCCCTTCTTCGAACAATATACCCCTGTAAAAAAGAATCCGTTCAGGCTGCAAATTGAAAACCAAGTTCCTTTATTATTATTTTTTCATATATATCTCTTTACTGTATAGTTTCTTAACTAAAAAGCAATGCAATATATTATAGGGTTGGGATCTAATGTAGGCATGCAACTATGCAGCTAAATTGTATAATATTTTTTTCACTAGAACTTAAGAAACTCAGTATATTAGGTTAAGAAACAAATCAGCCTATAATTGTGTGAACTACTTCTAAAAGTCTGTTAGACTACTTTCAAGGCCCCTTTKAAARTGACGTATGTCCCTGTGGGATTTTTTTGATTAATACTTTTCMATTAAGTTTTGTTAAAATTATTATAACCCAACAAAGGACACATATTCATTATGATGTTACCTGTGGATTATTTAGACCAGCGGAATGAAGAGCATCTTTACCATGTAATGTTGCATCTGTATACGCAGGAAGTTGATCGTCATGATCAGTTACCATTGTTTCTGGGCMGTTGTCCTGGCATAAAGAAAAAAAGATTTTTTGGGGTAATGGACTAACTGATACTGTAAAATTTAATCTATGAACATTTGAAAAAGAAAGCTTTACATTAATATAAAACCCTACCTGTAGCTGTCCTCCGTAAGATTGATTGCAATCATCATCATCATAAGCTAGCTGTCGTCTACTTGCGATTGCGCTGTCTTTTCGTCTTTCGCTAACAACTTGTAATTTTTTCTCTGGTTCAAGGTGATGCGGAGAAAAGGACTGACATCTCTTGTGTCGTGAGTTCTCCCATATCCCTGTAGACTACACTTTTATTCCTTGTAACCTTGTAAGGATATTGTAACCTGATTTCGGGTACTTGTTCTTGTGCCTATTTCTCCAGTCTGCCTCAAACACGATGGCTRCACCCTMACGCTCGACTGACTCTGCTCTGCGTCCCAAACACATGGATAAACCCCACCCACAATTCCCGGGGACGTGTTCCACAGGAACCCCACGCTACATTATTCCCTCTTTTTTTTTTATTCTTGTTGGGCTAACCACCTTGGTTTTCTGCGAGCTCGGGTTGAGCGTCTAAGCGGCTTGGGTGATACCTGGTCCAGTAGGGCTTGGTCTTCGGTATGGCTTTCGCCGCCCCTGCTTTGGTGACCCTGGGAAACCTGATCGTCCCGGTCAGGGCGGTTCGCCACAAATGGGCATGGCTTTAGGTGGTTCCGGTGAAGAGTCTTACTTCGTCCTACACCCCCCTCTCTTTGCACCTCATAGACTGGAACCTCTGCATTCGGTTTCGCCCTGACAATATATACATCACTCTCCCAGTAATTATCCAGTTTACCGRAAGGAGTGAAGTTCTTCACCAGGACCCTGTCGCCAATCTCTATTTTGTTGGTGGACGGCTTGCGATCGTAGTTTTTCTTTTGTCGTAATTGTGCTGCCCCGGAGTTCCTTTTTGCCAGGTCATAAGCGAACTCCAATCGGCTACTGAGATCCTTGACAAACTTTGATTGCTTACTTCCACATCGCCCATTAGGATTGTGCCCGAAGTAWAGGTCAACGGCTAACCTGGGGTGGCGACCAAACATTAGATAAAAAGGCGAAAYACCRGTGCTACTGTGTTTCGTCGTGTTATACGCGTGCACTATGGGTGCGATGTATTCCTTCCAATTGGCTTTCTGACTATCGTCCAGCGTCCCCAGCATGTGCAGAAGGGTTCTGTTAAATCTTTCGCACATACCATTTCCCATAGGGTGGTATGGAGTAGTCCTTGATTTCGCCACGCCAGCCAATTCACACAAATGCTTGATAACGTTGGATTCAAAATTTCTGCCTTGGTCACTATGTAACCTTTCAGGGAAACCATAATGGACGATAAATCGGTCGAACAGTGCTTTAGCTGTAGTTCTAGCTGTCTGGTTAGCAGTTGGAATTGCCTGTGCATACCTTGTAAAATGATCACTCAGTATCAAAATATTCTCAGGTCCACCCTTCGATCTCTCTAATTTCAGGTAATCCATGCAGACTAACTCCATCGGTGCGGTTGAAGTAATATTCA